GGCTGTCCGGGCTCACCTGTGGAAGGAAGCGCTGCTCTGAACTCTGCCGTGCGTTTTAGGCGTCTCCGGTGTAGCGCTGCCCGTCTGCATGCTGTGGCAGAGGTGTTCGAATTGGGAAGATGAGTTTTGAGGGGCTCGTAGCTTCAATAAGCAGAGAGCCTTTTCCCTTGGAAACTTTCAGACTACTATAAAAATACAGTTAACATTAAAAAGAAATGTAATGAAATAGAAAAGTGTATTGTTTTACATGGGAGAAGGTGAGTAGCAAAGCAGCTCTGAAAATGCAGCACAAGCACTTGATCTGAATTAAAAGAAAGTGCAGCTACAGGGAGTTCAGAAGCAATGTGGAACCTTGATTAAATTCAAGGATAGGACATCCTAAGGTGATGCTTTGATCATGTACTGTATTCCCTAGCAAATGGGCTAAGCTCTGCTTGGGCTGACCTTGGGCATTAAAACACAAGAAAACAGTAGTGCTGTTACTTACTTGGGTTTGTGGCTGCTTACTTGCAATTCTCGCTATTACAGAAGCAATTTTTAACTTTATTGGAAGGAATGTGTCTTCTGCATCTCAGAGCAAAAATGATGACTGTGACAGTTCAGTTTGCACTGTCAGCTTTTCATTAAAGGAGTATAACTGATACAGGTCATCGCTATGGATGACTGAATTTGATCCCTTCTCCTTAGAAAGGCAATGTTGAGAAATTCTGTTATATGTTTGTGAACCTGTTTTCTTCTTTCTCATCAGTTCTGGGTTCCCAAACAGATGTTTTTCATTTACCATTTCTAATGTAAAAGTTTAGATGGAATATTCTCACCTACTTATAATGATAAGAGTTCCCCTTGTGTGCATCCCCACTCTGTTCTTGATAACTTCCATTGCAGAGCTACAGTAACTTAATAAAGAAGTTTCTCTTTTTTTCCCTTTTTTTTTTTACCCCCAAGATGAAAGACTTTGGGAAGATATAAAAAAATTTCGTTAATGTATAAAGTTAACTTATATTCTCATTTTCTATTCAAATGTAATTATCTTTTTGTGTCTTCTGTTATTGTTGTGTAATCAAAGTCCTGGGAGGGAGAAGAAGCAGGGCAAGGAGAGGAGTGAATGGCAGGAGGACACCATAATTTCTTGTCAGCTCCACTCTGCTCTGCCACACTCAAAGCTGGAATTAGAACAAATCCTCAATGCTTAAAGTAGAGTAATATGTCTGTGTATATTCCTTGTATTTTTGAAAACATGAATAGCAAATGAAACTAAGAAATTAGGTGGTTAGGTGGTTTCCCTAAACCTTTGTGGCGCACAGAAGCGGGTCAATTGTCCTGATTGTCTTTTTTTGTGTGACTTCAATAAGACAGATTTATTTATGGTCTTTTTGAATACTTTAGTTTTGATTGAACTGGTACTGGAGGTGTATCTGATTTTTTTTTACAAGTGGAAGCATCTCCTGCTTTCTAGAGAGATTAATTTGATCAGATCTGTGAAACGGGTATATGTTTGCTTCCTGATACCAAAACTTATGAAACACCTGTCATTTTTTTCCCTGACACATATGAGAATGGAAAGAGTTTCTACTGCATAAAATGGAAGTTAGTAATATTTTGCAGTTAGGTAGCAATGGAATAATTAATGGCAGTTAAATAGGAAGACATAAGTGGCATGGTTTTATCTTTCAGAATATAGACCTGTGGCTGTAATTTCAAAGTTAAAAATAAATTTCTGAACAACTTTGTGAATAAGGGCAGATTCTGAATACCAGTGTTATTTTAAAAATTCAGTGTCTCAGTTTCTTAAGGAAAAAATAAACATTGTCTCTTTCCTGCTACCATAGAAGATATGGGGGAAGTAACTGAGATAACTGCAGCAGAGTAAGGCAGGCACAATTTGAGGAACACAAACTACAGACATGGAGGAACCTACACTTTCTTGTCCTCTGTTTTATGGAGCAACTTACTTTTGCTGGAGCTTTTTGCTGATGTCTTTGTGGATTCTAGAGGTTTGTTGTAAAATGACACATGAATTTAAGGTGAAGAATGCAAACCGTGCTGATGCTAGGCTTTGTTTGCTTAGCAGTCATGCAAGGTACTGTACTGTTTTAGCTGAAATCAGTTTTAAGATACATGCACCAGTTTTGCTTAGAGTGTTTGTTCAGATAATGGTTTAAAATGCTGACTTATGTGCTTGGACAGGGGCGGGGCTATCTATGCTTGTTAACCTTAGGGTTCTGTGCTATAAAACAAATGCAGGAGTTTAGAGATTGTACGTATTTTTTTTAGCAATGGAAGTACAGACTTGTTAAAATTTATGCACTCTTACAGAAGGGTAGCAAAGGCAAGTGTGCAGGAATAATGGAGCCACAGTGGGGACTCAAGAAGTCTCAAGTGAATTCAGACTCGGAAGTGATGTTTCTGATCTGTTAGAATGAAAGTTAACAGCTTAGGAGAACCTGTTGCTCATGATGCTCTTTTGAAAGAGCTGTGTATTGTGGGATTTTCAGCTTTCCCAAATAACTGAAGCTTTTGAGACATTTTTCCCCCCTGTTCACGGGTGAAAGTAGTTTCCAAACACGTCTGTAGCTTTTCAGTTTACGGTGGAGATACAAAAAATTCAGAATACTTGAGAAGACTTTCTCTTTACTTGAATAAACTATTTTTAGATGTTTGGGGTTTTTTTTAAGAAGTTTCTTAAAAACAATCACTTTTTTCATATTTTTTTTTCTCAGCCATGTATTCTTCTGCAACTTAACTTGTAAAAATGTCTTTTTGTGTTGATATGACAAAACCAATATGCAACATTTTAACAGATTTAGATAGGTAAGATTTAGATTCAGAAGTAGATAGTTTGAGGGTGCTGGTATACTTTGTGTTCAATTTCTTAGCTGTGTGTGCTGTGCATTGTTAATCCGTTTTAGCTTGATAGCAAAATATGTTTTCTTTCATAGAGTGAAGATACGCAGCAACAAATTATCAGAGAAACTTTCCATCTAGTATCGAAACGTGATGAAAATGTCTGTAATTTCCTAGAAGGAGGATTGTAAGTATCAGGTTTGAAATAAATGCCAAATACTTACCTGCTAGCAAATCCTACTGCTGATCGTACTGTAACTTTTTGCACTTGTAATGTAAATGCAATATCACTTGAGGTATTTTAATACACAAAGGGCAGTATCATGTTGCACCAGGTACGCATATTCTTTACTGACTGAAGCATATATATGTATCAAAATGAATTGGGCAACAAAACTAATTTTTTCTAATGCTGTAACTGGCACAGAGCCATATCTATATGTGTTTCAGACACAAGATGGGGAAGAAATAGGCAGGTGATACCTAACCAGTTTCCCTATAATCAAGCTAAAGATTTCTGGTCTCATTTGAAGAGGTGTTGGCATTTGCCATACCCATTGAGAAAATGAAAATGTTTTGTAGCTGGTGCTTTGACTGGAGCTCCTAAAATTTGGGTAGACAGCCTCTGATAATAGGATTCCTCAGCCTTTTTATTAGGGTTCAGGCTTGCTGTATAAACTAAGAGGAAAAAAATAGGTTTTAAATATGCCAACTAATGCAGTTTCAACCAAGATTTTTTTTATTAATATATGTAGAGCAAGGTAGGAGGAAAGCCAGACTTAATGTCTTCTGTCTAGAAGACACACACAAAATATTATTTCTTGAATCATCTCAGTTTTTTTAATGTGGTCTTGCTTTAGTTGAAGAGAAGAAATTCTGAAATGGAAAAGTGTTTTGTTTTGAGATAACAATCATCAAGAGTAAATAGTTTCAAAGCCACCTTCAGGAAAAGGTGTCATAATTCATGGAGTAAGTTCATGATCTCCACTCTGAACATAGAGATTGTCATAGCCTGTTAAATATTATAATTGTGGAAATATTTGGTCACTGAAAGTTAGTGTGTTAATGCTAAATTTTCTGTGTGCAGAGTCATTTAAATGCTTAGCTATACCATGTCAGCTATGATGTCTTTTTCCTGATCAAGGTCGTTACTGGGGTTTTTTTAATTATTTTTTAAACTAAAATTGTTCTTTTTCAACTACTTAACTGGTTGTTCTATCATTAGGTTCTTAGAGATGATTTCAAGCTGGAATCATGCTGGCTTGAATTCTGTAAAAGACAGAAGCCATTTGGAGCCTTTTGAAAAAAAAAAACAGCTGTGCAACGAAAAGAAACTAAGAGAACATAATTCTGCTTTCCTCCTACTGTTCAATTCCAGACTTAGCATTTCAGTATATTTTTTCTCCATTTTTTTTTTTTGTTTTCAGGGCAGGGATCACTTTAAAGTTTGCAATTTACCCAAAGGCCTCAACAACTAATGTATACTAAAGTATTTGAAAGAATTGGGTAAATAAAGCACAAAAGAGGAAACTTTAATTGCCATTTCTTTTTACTTCTACATTTGTTTGTAATATTTTTGTCTGATACGTCTTAAAGGTAGCTCCTGCTCTTCAGGAGCAAAGGATTCCCCCTCCCCCCCACCCCAGCATTAATGCAAGGCAATGTTCTTAAGGAAAAGTGACCTAAAAGATTTCTTGTTCTTTTTATTTATTTACATATTCTCTCCCTACGATAAAGGCAGAAACTAAAGGGATGACCAAACATGTGATTCGGTTCTGGTACAGAATTAAGGGAGAATTACGATGTTTATAGCCAAGTAGGTTCAGGCTACAAAATATTTTAATTTCTATTTGAGCAGGCTTCCTACTGCTCAAAGCAAATGTCAGTGATCTGAAGAACAGCTCTTCTTACGATTTATGTACCTTCTTTGCGAAGGCTGTAGCAGAAGGATGGAAGGAAATGCCTGTTTAGAACTTTCTGTTCTTGTTCAGTAGCTTGATGATTAGTGAGTCAATAAAAATGTAATTGCTTCTGTGACTTCAACATGGCATCGCAAACTACTGGTTATAGTACAGTCTTGTTTCTGAAGATATCAAACATTTTGTAGCACAAGTGTTACATGTTCTTGGTCATTAAGTGGACTGTAAACCTGACTTAGGGCTCTTTCTGTAATCCAAATGCTAGTCTGCTTTATAATTTTCTGGTGATGCTTCTCTGAGAAGGGCAGGGAAGGATTCATAGGCATATGCTCCATTAAATCTGTAACACAGATTAATCCCTGTACAGTGCCCACTAGTGTGTAATGGAAGTGCATTTAATACCCAGTTTTTATGAAACATCATGATCTGTTTGAATTGATTTTAGTAAAAAGGTGCATATGTTGATATCATAATTATCATATGGATAACAGTAACTGTGCTTGTGTGGTAGATGTAACTTGGGCTGTCTTGGTACTTAGTATTCTTCCATTGTAGTTATATCACAAAATAAAAGTTGTGATACAGTTGGATTTGGAAAAGCTTCAGCCAGCCATTAACAATAGGACTACTATTAACTGAAATAACTGTGAGGATTTGCCCAGCTTATCCTGAGATACTAACTTTCCTGTTTTCTTTCCTGTTTAGATTAATAGGTGGATCTGATAACAAGCTAATTTACCGCCACTATGCCACCTTGTATTTTGTCTTCTGTGTGGATTCTTCAGAAAGTGAGCTTGGCATTTTAGACCTCATACAAGTAAGTTTTTTTCACTGCTGTGTTTTTTTTAATAAGTGAAATTCTACTTCTAAGTACCTTAGAATGTACTTAGAAGTACTTTAGTTATATCTTTTTGTGTAATATTTGGAAGTGAAGGTGGCTTTCATAATGTGAACCAACCCGAAGTGCTGAGTATTACTTTCAGATTGTTTGCAGTTTTCTGAACTGTCTTTGAAGAAGTTGTTTCCAAAGTTGATGAGAAAATAAGGAGACTGTTTGGAACATACTGAATAGTCAGCAGCGACTTTTTGCTGCAGCTTTTCAAGGCCTCGTTTTGGCTGCAGGTAGAAATGGTGAAGTTCAAACATTCACTAGACTAATTTAGATTGTGAGAACCTTGATACATAAAGCTCTGTGTGTGTATGTCTGTGCTCTGTGTATGTGTATATATATATGTATTTCACTACAAATATATGATGGATTAACACACCCAAAACCGCTTTGGATGAAACTTTCCTTGTGGCTTATGAGCTTTGGGTCAGATGTACCTTAGAAAATGAGTGGAAATGCTGCCCTGGGCCTGTGTTCTGCACCAGGGGGTGTGGGGTGGTTAAGGAGAGGTGAGGAGAAAGAGAGCTGGGACAGTTTCTTTCTGGGTTTCCATAAGAAAGGCTCGACGACAAAATGGCTTAGTAGGATAACTGTTTAATAAAACGGAGTAAGAAGAGGAATGTAGATAGTAAATCTTACACCCCTTTAGGTGGCGGACATCCCCTGTTTGTGCAGCATCCAGTGGAGCTCAGGTGGATTTTCCCACAGTGTGCTGTGCAGAGTAGATCGTGTTCATGGAGAGAACTCCCTTTTTTGGAGCTTTGAGCTATTATATAATTTCCTCTCAAGACAACAACTCTATTCCTAAAGGATGTTCCCTTGAGAACTTCTTGCTGCACTCTGAGGCACAGGCAAGACCACGCAGGTGGTGTAATCACCAGCAGGGTACCAAGTGCGAGCTGCCTGCAGGCTCCTCTGTTACAGTGTGCTGGCTGAGTTTGTCGTGCAGTCGAGGAGTTTGAGCAGCACAGCACAGGCCTGTGCCTACTCGTGTTGTTACGTGGATCACTAACTCCTAAACGTGCAACAGTCCCTTGGTCAGGATCAATACATTACACTCCTCGGTCCACCTACAGTTTACCTTTCCCAAAGGCATTATGAGTTATAGATTACATTAGTAAGATGCAGGCTTCTCAAGCCCAGTAGGGCAGACGTGGGCTGTTCAAGATCACTAACTCCTCAAATACAATGTGTTCTGCAAGGCTTCCAATACAGCGTGTGTGATTTAAACTGTTAAATGTATCTGTATCAACTCAGCAACAAAAGTAATGTCTGGTAATACACTCTTATGTCAAGAGAACTGACTACACCAGTGATTTTTCAACTTAAAAACTGCACATAAAGAATTTAACTGATGATTGTTGGTGCAGTCAGATGTGGCAAAGAATAGTTTCATGCCACGAAGTGCTGTGTGTCATTACATAAAATGGGTCTTGGAGATATGTATAGAGAGAGATATATATGTATATATGTATGATTCACTTACTGTTAAGCCTTTCAAAAGCTTGCACGTCAGGATAATGAATTTATTACATAAGTAAAATTGTGATATCCTGAGACATGGGCCTGTATCTATTGATTATTTCACTGCAGAAGATACTGTAAGCCTTAAAGGTCTGACAATTCCCTGCAGACTTTTCCTGGTGATAAATAGCTTCTTATAGTCACCTATTAGTGTTCAGAACAGCACTTCAGTGTTTAATGCTTTTCTGGAGAGTAGATCCAAATTGTCTTTCCTAGTGGCTGTGTGGGTAGCAGGGAAGGAAACTCTTTTTCTAAAGGCTTAGGTCATCGTAGGTCGTAGAAACATTCTGCAGTGGTCTTACGTGTTATTAGCAGTTAGTTGTACAGAGTGGCTTAGTCGCTTGTTGCGTAGTGTGTTTTCTTACTTGCAAGTGCTAAAATATTTATGAACTGAGAAAAGAAGCATGTTAATGTTTCATGTGTCTTACGTATGGTTTTCACATAAAGTGGATATTACAGATGCCTTCTGTTTAGTCAGATAGTAAGGTTAGGAAAGACTATCTAGGTCAACCCATCTCATCTGTTATATTTTGCAGCGCCGCTATGCAAATTTGATTAAGATCTTATTTATTATGGTATATTAAAAATGTCACATCAGTAGCTTTCAGTTATTTCCAATTACAGAGTGTAAACAAAAATTTACTTTAAGGTGTTGAAGCAAATTGCTTGAGCTTGCTCTGACCTATATTTATATAGCCCTTAAACTCTCTGAATTAGAGAGATCTTAAACTTTTCTCTAAATTATGTCGCTTCTTGTGCCAGAAGTACTTTGATAGATTTGAATCTTTCTGTTTATGTTTCAGATCTTGCCACTACACCTTGGTGTTTAATTACATGCCAGTATAATTACTTGAAGGAAGCAGAAATAATAGAAATGCTGTTTCTATTTATAGAAATACTTTACTTTTTTTCTGATGGTTTTGTTTGTAAATGCAGTCTCACTGCAGTACCTGCAGCTGTTCACTATTCCTGTTTCTCTAGATCATTTGATTATAGGAGAAAGTATACAGAGATTAATTAAACATTTTTAATTTCCAGTCTGGCTCACAAGAAGGATCTGTTTAATCCTTTTAGCCATAGCAAACAGAAGTAAATGCATCTTACACTGGAAAAGCAGCCTCAGAAAGTTTATTGCTATGTCTCAACCCTGCATGCAACAGACTGGCAGTATATACACACCCATATCTACTCAAGCGAATAAGCTTCGTCTATTTTTTGTTGAGAATTGTTGAACCAGTTTCATATATTTTTGTTTACTATAGTTCAGCGACAACACAGGTGAGAGTAAGCCACCTGGAGTTTGTTGTGAATCATAAATATACTGAATTGTTTAAATAACTAGTTTTGTAGAGGGCCAGTTTGATCTCATGAGAATAATCTGATGAAATGAACCTAGAACTCAGAGTAGCACTTAAGAGTTTTCGATCTTGTAAACTGAATAAATCTATGGCGGATTAGACTATATATGGCAGTCTGCAGTTCTTTTCAGCCTGAAGTTCTTGTAATACTTAAGATACTTCTGTGAAGGTCACTTATATCACCCTTAGGTCAGAGCTGTTTCACAGGCAAGTCTTCTTGGCTCAGGCTTAATGAATGCACTGTTTATGTTGCAAATCAGACTCTCCCTCAGATTTTATACTGTGTTCAAACTAGATGTGTTTGGACACCTTAGGCAAATTCATACTGTTATTTATTGTCCATTTTCTTTCTTTCTTTTTTTTTTTTTTTTTAAATACAAGGACAAGATTTTGTTTATTGTTTTCGGTTAATTGTATGAGCGATAGGGCAACATCTGTGCTGTGGCTGGTAGGTTTTGGATTCAGTGTAAATTGTGTCATCCCTTGTAGCTATTTCAGGGTCTTCTCCTTAGCCTGTGAAGTGTAAGGTTATAGTGCATGGAAATAAAGTACATAACAAAATATAACTAGCTGTAGACTGCCAAGAGGAAAAATTGAGTGACATTTACAATGGTACCTATGTTCTACACTAGTTGGAGTGTCAAGTAGCATTTGAACAGTCAAAATCAGTGAAGAGAGGACTCTCCATGGGCACACTGAATTAATTTTGTCTTAAGATTTACCATTGCTGTTTAGCCTAGGAAGAAGGATGGGATATTCTTTATATGAGTTACTTCATTTTTCATACCTGCTTTTGTTAGTATTTAACTTTATCTGGCATTAGGTGCATTTAATTGATTAAGTATTCTGATTTTTCTGCTAGTCCTGTTATCTTCGCAATATTAATGTATGTCTTATCCCTTTGTTGTCTTTTTTGCATAATTAAAAATGAGCTCTTTATGGTAAAAGTGTTTTTTTATGTTTTGACACATGGCTGAGTATAGGGAGCCCCTGGCTTGTAAATATCCAATAACAATTTGGTATTTTGGTTCATATACTTTACTCTCCAGGTGTGTATCTGACTTTATTAAAGCATATTTACTACAAAAGAGAGGTGTGGGGATTTTTTTTTTCCTTCTTCCTGTCGACTTGCATAGAGATGTGCATGGGTTCTTCTTTGAACTGTAAAAGATGATGATTTCAAAAACGAAGCACAAGGAGGAGCTAGTAGTTCACTTTACATGCATCCTTATTTTACTGCTATTCGACTCATTTATTAATGTTTCTTTTCCAGTAACATTATAAGGTGTGTTTGAACTGGTGTGTATGTGTGTGTTTCCTGAAACAATTGGTGTGTTTTCTGTTCTGGTTATTTTGATCTACAAGTCTGCAGCTTCTGAAGTAATTACTGAAGTACTTAAATTGTAGCACTGCTTGCCGTCGCGTGCAATTTATTTGACTCTCAACTACAATTATGATGAAAGTGGCTCTAATTTTATTTACTGTATTGATTATTTGAAATCGTCTTAAAATAAGTCAAGGAATGTTAGTGTAAGAAATCTGGTTTACCTTTGCTTTTAAAGACCAATTATTCGCAACGTGTAACTTGTATAACTTGCCAGTGCTGGCATTCCTCTGAGTGAACTCTCCATCACAAGTGGAACATTGAGGAAGTTTCTAAAGTTTTCATGAAAAATCCTTAGTTGGTAAAAAATCTCTCTGAAGAGTACTTAGTGCCAGTTGATTTCCCTTAGATTAAGAACTGTTTGGTGTGCATTACTGGTCATGCGTTGCAAGCGGAGATCTGTGAGTTCATTCAGTGTGTGGTGTTGTCACTGTGTGATGGGTAAATATTTAAAAGTAACCATTGTAACTATGAATCAAGTGTTGTTATCAGAGAAGCCCTAGTTACTGGAAGACGGTCATAAAAATAAAACTTCTGTGTGGTTGATGTGTGGGCATGTGTACTGCTACTAAATACGTGTATCTGTAGGGGCCTTTTTTGAGTATTTTTGAGTTGGTTTTGGTTTTAACATGTTCCTTTGTTTTCCAAGGAACTAGATGGATGTCAGAGTATGTAAATTTATGTGCAAACTTGGTGATGTATATGAGGAATATTTTATTTTATTTCAAAAATAGTATTAGCTTTTTTAATTAAAACCTTTGGATAAAGGTTACATTTACACTCTATTTCCAATCTTCTTCCTGCAGCTAATATCAAACAGCACTGTTCTTGTAACCACATTCTCCTAAGGTACCAGGAAAGTAAGAGAACATCTCTGCTCATTTGTCTTGCTGCACATAGTTGTGAACTGTGTAGTTTGTTCTGCTTAACCTACAACTCTTTGTTTGCTCACATCCCTCCTTTATAGAAGACTGTTATTATCACAACAGATTAACAACTACCTGAAGAAAAAACCCCGATCTGCTTCGCTTAGCTTCAGTATAATTTAACAGAAACATATTCATTTACTTAGTTGACTGTTGTCGGTGAACCTTACTGTCTTCAGTCTGCCTGTGAAAATGCTCTATGTTTCTAGTTTAAGTTACGAATTGGTATTTTGGTATTAAAGAATAATCCTTGTTCTAAATGCATGGAGCATCAGATGTAGTTTGACTTTAAAATAGAGATTGATGACAGCAAAATGTGATCCTCTTCTCTTTTGTTGTGTAAGCAGGATTTGAGACTGGGAATTCAGATTTAAACTAATCATTCTTTATATGCAAGGTAGACAGCTAGAAATGGCTGATGTCAAGTTGACCCACTTCGCTGGGTCTGCAGATTTAAATATGTATCTATAGAAGCAGGCCTTTTATCCACTTTATTTTTGTCAGGAGAACATGGCTTCTCATTCCTATTTCTCTGGGTCTAGGCAGTTTGAAATCTGGTTCCTCTCGAAGGCTAAGACAGGATTGAAGAGAGAGTCAAAACCAGGTGTTTAACTTATTACATATTGCTGCTTTAGGGTTTGAGTTTAGAATTGCAAAAAAAAAAAATTACGTACAGTAACAACTAAATAATATTAAATGTATATTGTGACAAAATGGCCTTGAAACATATAATACTGAGATTAAATTTTTCCACACAATGCAGTTTATTTACTAGTCATTAATAAAATGATCTGTAAATTCTTACAGAAATTCTTTTTACTTTTGAGGACCCTGATCTCTCAAACTCAAGCATATGTTTAACTTGGAGATCTTGACACATCTTATCTAAGTCAGTAGGAGTTATCCCTTACATAAAGGGAACTATGCTTATACCTCTCTAAGACTGGAGTCTTTGTCAGCAGTCACTGCAAGCACATGGTGATTGACATTCAGGAGCTTTGGGAGTGCAAGTACAGTCTACCTTTTCATTATCTGGCCTGACTGGGGACTGGGGTGTCTTAGTGTACTAAAACTGGTGAACATAAGTACCAAGGAATCTGTTACAGAAGTACCCAGGGCAGGGTAACTAACATCCAGACCACATGCGGCAGAGATGATCAGTGGCTGGGCTAGAGCCGCTGCTTGGATTTTTCTGCTTTGTGCACTTGCATTCTAGATTCAGGGAGTGGTTATTTCCCTGGGTACAAACTGACGAACTTCTCTAAATTTGCATGGTGGTGTGCCTGACAGGATCAGCAGGTGTGACATTAAGACAGCTACCTTTTCCTTGGTCGATCCTGAATTCAGCAGGTCTAAACCAGGTGAAAGCTGCTGTACTGTTGCTGGAAGCCGTAATGCTGACGAACTTGCATAATGCTGACAGTTTGCATTGCACATATGTCTCTGTGTGGCAAAGTTAACAGTAGTCTGGTTAACCGGGAGATGCCTGCAGTGTAGCAATTGGTAAAAATAACAAAAATAATGAAAAAAACCCAGCTGATTTTTGCTTAATGATTGAGTTCTAATGAAATGGGAAGAAACACTTTGAATTGAAGCCTAGATGATGTTACTGTTTTTTCAAGATGCAACTATTGTTTAAAACTGTGACTTTTAGCAGAGTTATAGCATAAACTGACTTGTGCATAGTTTTGCCCCCTACAGATAGCATACTGTTGACATAATGTCAATCACATAATTTCTATAGATGCTTTTAATGCCTTAAAATCTGCCCAGTGTTTATTTTCTATATTTGCTTTTGTTAAACCTCACACCTAATGGAACTATTGAGTTTCTGTTAATGTTTGACCTCTGACTCTTTTTTTTTTTTTTTTTTTTTTTCTTTTTGCAGGTGTTTGTGGAAACACTGGACAAATGTTTTGAAAATGTCTGTGAACTGGATTTAATTTTCCATGTAGACAAGGTAATGTGATGAGCTCCTGTGCTCTTTCTTGTCAAGTAAAATGTTTGATTCAAATGGTACTTGCTATTAAACTCTGGTGTGATTCTACTTTTATTGTTAGTGAAATCCAGACAGTTTCTATCTTTATTGTTTTTAAAACTTGAAAGCTATGGTGGAACATGTCTTTCTGAGTAAAAATAAAATAATGTGGGAGATTTGCGTAGTGTTATTGCACATACAGTTGTAAGATTGGAGACATCTGAATATTCTCAGAGTAGGACTTAGTTTCAAGAAGTAATTTGTTCTATTTTGTTTACGATTAGGTGTTACATTACTCAGAACTGACATGGTTACAGAGTTTTCCAGTTAAGGCTGGCAGTTGCCTTTCAAATGCTATGCTTATGTAATTTAAATGCTGTGTGGATCTTTCTCTTCTAAATCTCTATCAGACATTACATCTTTTTTCAAACATTTAGAAACAACCTTGTATTGGTGTAGTACTAGATAATTTGGAGAACAGAGTATGGGAATGAGATAATGTTTCTTATGTGCTGTAACAGATGAGGACTTGGGGTGTCAGGGAGTGTAGTTTGTACAGAAGAGAATTCAGCTTCTCTTTTACAGATCAGCTGTATTAAAAACGAACAAGCCAACAAATTTGCTATAGCTGGAGCAAAACGTTTTCCAGAGGAGAAGGTTTATTTCAGTCTTGTACTGATTACTACTCTGACTACAGGAGTGTAACACTTTCTGATGGAAAAGACGTCACAGAAAGCCATCATAAGCGTCTTTTACAACTAAAATACTAGAATACATTCAGTTGGGATGTAAGGAGATACTTTTATTTTTCTTAATATTTGGGACCTATTGAAATATCCCTGGGAGTATCATAATCTCTTCCAAGAGTTTATTATCTGACCAGAACAGTGAACCCTCCAGAATCACATTGCAGCTTGAAGACAAGAAAATGTTTTTGCCAGATTTTCCTGGGAGAGTATTTTCTTGATGCATTCCTTTTGCACATTTGTTACAGCATGCATTCATGCTTTTAGACAGTGCATGGAACAGAAGTAGGAAGCACTCTTGATTTTTGTAAAACACGTCAAAGTCATTATTACAAAATGGCAATTTCAGTTTTTGAAAAGGTGATGTTCTCAACAGTCTGGTCTCTTTTAGAATATAAATGTAAGAAGTGTAGACTAGATATAAGGAAGACATTTTTTACAATGAGAGTGGTGAAACACCTCGTTGTGGAACAGGCTGCCCAGGGAGGTGGTAGAAGCCCCATCCCTGGAAACATTCAAGGTCAGGTTGGACGGGGCTCTGAGCAACCTGATCCAGCTGAAGATGCCCCTGCTCACTGCAGGGGGATTGGACTAGATGGCCTTGAAAGGTCCTTCCAACCCAAACCATTCTATGATTCCATGTGCCTTCAGTCTTTCACTTAAACACTGTTTTGAAAACGGTTGGAGTGCATTTTGCACTTCATTGCCACTTAATGCTTTTTTTAATTTGGAAATTCTTTTGTTTCTTTTGGAAAATAATTAGTGGAATTTTTGGTTAGAAAAAGTAAAGAAAATAATGTGTATTTTGTTAATTTAAAACATATTTGCAATGAAAAAGAAAATCTAGTTAGTATTAAAAATGTATATCTTGCTACTGCTTATATCTGAGCAAACTTTTGCTAGTACTGTTTTATTCTTATAGTGTATTTAAGAGAAGTGGATAAATGGCTTACAGTATTTACATTATATTATTGGTCGTGGTCATGATTTCCTTTTGTTACAGATTAACAAGTAAAATTAATTTTATTGTTACTTAGAAAGTCATCGTTTTTGGGGCAAGACAAAAAAATGGTTAAGCTACTGTGTCAATCCGTGCTTTATAAGTATTTTTAAATACTGCGTGCTAGAGTTGCATATTGCATACTAAATGTAGGAAGAAATAATTCAGAGAACAGTAAGAAGCATGATCCAAGGTATGGAAGAAGTTGTTGAATATTGAAGACAGTGGAGGCAGAGAAGTAAGAAGTATGTAAAAAAAGGAGTTGAAGGGCCTGAAGAAAATGAACAACTGTGTTTCTCAGAAATAAAGAACAGTTGGATATCAGATAAAAGTTTAGGAAGTAAGTATGAAACAAAGAAAATATATTTTTCATGTCTGATAATTAAATTATGGAATGCCATTTTCCCATTTTATCATAGATACCAAGAATATTATAAGTAGGTTCAAAAGTGATTAGACACATTAGCCAAAAAAAAATTTGACAGGGGCCATAAATACAATAATATAGCAAGAAATAGCAAACAATAATTGTTTCAGGTATCCTTAAGTTGGAGATATTTGAGAGCAGAGAATTTATATCAGGATTAATAGTACTCTTAAGATTTCTTGCATGTAAGTGTCAGCTGGTGAATTTTTGAAATCAGGTAATAAACTAGGTGGATTTTGCCTCTGACTTAATAAAGTTTAATAAATTTTTTTAAGCATGCTTGAGCATAAGTAGAAATTTTAACTTTTTTAAAGCAACTTCCATGATGGCAGATAAAATGTTATGACGTACATCTTGTGTAACATGAAATACTGAGCACGGAACACCAAAATAACTGCTCAGCAGTAATTCATGGTGCTTTAATTTGTACTGTGCACTTAGTACAGGACTTTCTGAGAGCAAAACGCTGATAAAGCAATCCTTTAAAACACCAACAGCTAGAGTAATGAAATAGTTTCTTTATGACTAAAAAGATTAAGGAAGGTATTTTCTTACTGTTTTGATGAAGAATACTAAGACTTCCTCTCTGGGCTTGTGTGCTTTAGAAAACAAAACAAAAATACGTCCGCACTGTTCTTTCTGTCTGTAAAGCTTATTGTAATATTTATAAATCTGCATATACAGTCTCAATGATGAGCTATTTTATTTGTGAGAAGCTATAGTCTCATTGTATTTACTCTCCTTCGTCACTGCATCCATCACAATAAGGATAATGACAATTACTGCCAAAGGCTGGGTGTTCGCACCAGTCATACACGTATACTGCTGTTCTGTACAGTTATGGCATCAGTGCTATAGCTGGCCAGAAACCTGAAGTTTGCCTGCTGCCCTTTTCTGTCTGCAGACAGTATCAGGGATAACTGTGAGTTGCGTGTTAATCTGTAGGTTGCTGGCATGTTGCAGACTTCTTTCAGCACTGACACGAAGGGGAACTGATGCCTTGGTGAGATGCGTACTTTGAACCTGTAAATCAAGTTCTTTGTCTGGGTATCGTGCAGTGGTTCTTGCCTTGTTTCGTTGTTGCAGTTGGGCTACAACCTTACTTTTATAATCGGTGGTCCATGTACTTAAGAAGCCTTTTTATTTTCTTTTTAATTTATAAAATAGTAAACCAGTTCAGATTCTTTGTTCATAGTGTCATAGAATAATTTACACTGGAAGGGACCTCTGATGGCCATGCAGCCTAGTTCCTCTGCTCAAGCTTGGCCACTTCTTGAATTTTTGTCGCTCTTCGTATTATACAAAATGGATCAGATAGGTCGTATCGTAGAGTCGTTCCCTGAACTGTCGTAGATAATGTGCACTTGTTGTAGGGACCTTGCACCACTACTGGTTTAAGGTGAAGTTACCAACTGGGCCTAATAAAGAATGTGATTGTGATTGCAAATCTGTCTACTTCTAAAACACATCTCTTGTACCATCTCCTCCCTGCAGAATTACCAAACCTGATATCGTGTTGATTGGCTTAAACTGTGATTCTGTAACATCTTTAGCCATACATCTTTAAAGTGGCAATCATTATGACCATCACCAGTGGTAGAGATGTACTGTCTTCTAAATGCTGTCAGTGGTTGTTGTTAACTTTTCGATTAAGGAAAAAAAAAAAGACGTTTTTGTGTCTATTTTAATATTCACTTTATAATGGTTTCCATATTAAAATCTCTGATATTTTCTTTTTCATACTAACAACATCTTAAATCAACTTTTTGTATTTTCAACTTATATTATCAAGCCTTTGATATGAGTAAAATTAAGAATTGCCTGAAAAATCAGAATGTTCTTTCAGGTGATTCTGTTGAATAGATTGTATCTTTCATCTGGTGTCTACAAAGTAATTCTTTACAACTTTGTAACCAAATGTAAATTTATGGAAGACTTTTGGATTTAGTATTTCAGGTATCCCATACAATGTATTTACTAACTCATATTTGTGTACAGCTATAAACTGTTTCTTTATGCTATGAGTGAAAAAGAGTTTTCAGTAAAAAGAAGTAAATATTGCTGACATCTTTCAATGTATTTGTATTGTCAGTGTAGAGTAAGTTAGTGTTAGATTGTCTTTTTTGCTGATTGTGGTGCTAAAAAGTTTTTAAATTCACCTAATAACAAGCCAGGAGAATTAATTCTTCGGCACCAGTTTTATATTATGTTTTTTAGCTTGGTATGTGATGAGGGGCATGTACCAGGAGTAAGAGAGTGGCTCAGTAAGGATTGTTAATCTTTCTCATATTATTTGGTTCTTAAAGCTCTACTCACCAGGAATAGGCAGAGAGAAGAATCTATTTTCAGCCTCTCTAAACACATTCATTGTAAGTTTCTACTGAAGTATAGTAATGATTTATCAGGGAAACAACTCTTCAATTTATTTTTGAGGTATGGTGCAAAACTAGGGAGTATGGTGTTTTTTTTATATATGACTAGCAACTCATGCTTCGACCTGTTTGATTTAGAGATTTACTTCTATTTCCTTGATCCACAGGGAAATTGCAACAATATCAAATCACACAGTGTGTTTATTTAAAAAAATAATGATATATTTATTGTCTTCAGAATTATAATGGGATTACAATATTATACATTACATATTAACACTGGATTTTTACTATAAAGTATGTGGAAGCATGCCTTTTTAAGAAAAAAAATTAATCTTTAGATTAAGTGCAAATACAGACTCTGAAGCAGAGATTCATGAACGAGGACTCGCATCCCCAAATCAGGATTGCAGGGAAGAGGGATATTTAGGCATACTTATTTCATTAATGTCCCTGGCTGGCTTGTGTAGTCCTTCAGTTTGAGTCCTAGATGCTAATCTTCGTCCTAGATGCTGAAAACTCCCTGCTTATGGTGTAGCTCAGGTATGTTAATTCTACTTGTAAGCCTAGTCTTGGTACCCGTGGTGAGTGAGCATCACTATGTTTCTCTTCCTCATAGGTGTAGCTCAAAGTAGGTTTTACACATCTATTTGTGAGCAATTTGTTTCATCTTGAGAACCTGCTCCTTAGAGGTGTTACTACTGTTAATACTAATTAGAATTCTTGTCCATAGTGCTTGGATAGAAAACAGGTACTGAAAGAAAGATGAATGTGAATGTTTCTTCTAGCACTGATAAGCGAAGTGGTATAGATGATGAATTTGTAACAGAACTATGTGGAAAGAAGATACTGGAGAAATGAACATCAAGTTAGGAGCTTTGTTAAATAAATTGCTAACATTAATTAAGTGATTTAGAGAACATATGTGTTCCTCTATTGAGGAATCTAGATATCAACTGTCCAGATGCGTGTGGGACATTTTGCATTTTTAAATTTTCTTTTCATCTTTTTTTAGGTCCATAATATATTGGCTGAAATGGTGATGGGTGGAATGGTTTTGGAGACCAATATGAATGAAATTGTCACTCAGATTGATGCTCAAAATAAACTGGAGAAATCTGAGGTAAGAATGATGCACTGTTTAGTTTCTAAACTAAAAATATGGTTGTAGAAAGTGCATGATGTGTAATGCTGTTTGTCCTTCAGAGCAAACAATATATGGCTGCTTGCTTGTAACGGTAAAAACTCACGATCTGTCATTAGGTTAAGGTGTCCTATCTTTCATCATAAGTAATAATTAGAGTTGCTGCTGATTAGTTTTTGCTATTTGTACCTAATAGCATTGTGCGCTATTGCTATTGAGATACTTCTATGGTTCTCTAAGTTTCTCTTGCACAAAGCATTTTATTTCTAGTGTATTTATTATGCTGCACTAGTGACTATAACACTTAGATTAAATTAGATAAAGAGCGTGTATACAAAGACTCCGTATTCCTGTCTGCTAGTATGTTTCTAGCATCTGAAATAAATGGCAGCATATTTAGTGTCACAATAATACTGCAACACAAAATGATAAATTGCACTGAAATGGACTAGATAGATAGAATTTGAAGCCCGGTTTTAGACCCTTTAAAGTAAATACAAATTCTGCCGTTTTGGTAATCTGAACATTTGATCTTCAGTTGAGTAGATTCGAGTGAGAAAATTATCCTCTGTATATGCTCATAACAGCCTGAGCGAGGGGTACTCAAACAAGTTGTGGGAATTCCTTTTCCATTCAACAATTGTCAAATTTTTGTTCAGGAAAGAAACTTAGAAAGAATTTTAGAATTACTTTAGCTATGACACAGAATACTACTGTTCCTTTAACATCACCAGACATGCTCTGTAAGCCAAAATACTACTAGTACATCTTAGGTAAGTCTGTGATTGATTCTTACTAAGAGTAATTCCACAGAAGAACACATCATCTGATTTTTGAAGCGTAATACGCAAATTTCTAAACAAATCTTTTCTTGAATTAGAGACTATATCTGAAGTTTAAGTCAGCTGAATAGAGTGAAATATTGCAGATGGCATAAATATGCCCTAAATGACATTTTTAGGAGAAGACTTCCTAGTTTTAGCATAAGTGGAACAGAGAGAAATGAATTCTTCATTTTTTTTTTGTGGTACAACATATACTGTTCTCCTAATCTGCAATCTCACACTGCACCACCTCAAGTCTCTTAATTGTCTGTTTTGCACAACTTCCAAACTGTATCCAAGAACAGGACAACCCTGTGTGAAAAACAGGAAAAAGCTAGGTATAATATGATACAGTGCCTAGCAATATACATTCAGAAAGATTGTATTGTAAATCATTAAGATATCCAAAATGTTCATTTTAACATTTTTCTCAAACTCAGAAGGAGCCATTGATCACAGAGATGAGTATTTAGAATTATTCTTATAAAATTTTACTATATTTGAATAAATTCTGTATACAGTTATTTTTCTTTATTTGATGGAAAAGTAACCTAGTGGTCCAAGAGCTGAACTTACTGAGCAACTATATTCTACTGTGTATTATCCACAGATCAGTTTTACCTGAAAATGTTTAATTAAGGTATTTATTCTTAATTATGTAAATTATGTTACCAAATCAACTATACATCAGTCCCTGACTAGTCATCTGAAACACATCAATTAACAGCAGCCAGCTGCAATATTTGCTGTTTCCAGTTATTCATCAGTAAGTCATCCCTTCTTTTAAGATGCTTTTAGTATACAGGTAGGTGGTAGAAGATAGAAAAAAACATGTAGAGCTCAGAGCATATGCAAGGCAAATAGCAACTTGTTCCTTTACACTTAGCAACAAATTATAGAAGGTAAAGAAGTAGCAGTAATAAATTTAAACACTTGGTGACTGGGATGGAGTAGAACATGTCACAGTCTGCTCACCACAAATGCTTTTTTTTTTTTTTGTTAGTTCAGTGACTTTCTTTTCAAATGTCACAATTACTGTAATGGTGAGATACTTCACAATATTTGGTAACTATTTCCTCAGATCATTAATCATTTGTTTCATGTATATCCACAGAAATTTCCTGATTGCTATTTCTTTTCCTTTTGTCTTTTTGGTCAAGATTGTAAATCTTTCAACATGTGTTTCCTGAACATGTATTTTCAAGATACAAGCAAATCCAATTCCTATAAATCAAAATCAGTAATAACTTAATAATATTTTTGAATGCTGGTCCCTAAGAAATCAAAACTAGTGGATCTTCTTAGTTTTCTTTAATTTAAAAATATGTAAATTATTTTTAAAATTTAGAAATTATTATTGATATAGTCTGTAGTTCATGGAACTGCCACCTATGCAACAGCACTCTTGCTTTAGTCTGGCTTGTTAGACCTCCGTCATAGTTCTCATGTCCATGAAGTAGCTGCTTGAACGTTAAATTGCTTTTTGTTTTATAGCTGAAATAATGAAGTTAATAAAGTTGTAACTAAGCTACATTTTCAGAAATATTTTAAATTTTGTATTGTGCCCACCTGGCTTCCCTTGATATACAAAATTTAGCCATTTGACCTCAGGTATTTGTTTACTTATGTATTAGGTTTCTAAACAGGCTTTCAGTTAGAATTTAGTGAATGTATTTACTAAAATCACAAATATTTGAGCAAAGTTATTGACTCAAAGAATTTGTTAATGCTTTCAACAGAGATTAATTATTTAAACCACTATGAGGGACTCCCTAGCTTTGATTTCTGTTTCAGCTCTTACATTGCTTGGATGGGCTACAAAGGAAATTCTATTTCTACCCTGAGATGTGTTGTCTTAAATGCATTTCGCTACCTTTCAGTTTAGTGTTTTATCTGTGAATGGATCTATGGTCAATCCTCCTAAAGCTGAAGAATGATCGTTGTGATTAAGGGAGGGAATTTTTGGGAGAGGGGTCAATGGGATTTTATACAGAGCCTCTGGAAGTATTGTAGGTAAAGCTGGGCTACCTTTTCTCTATTTGGAGTGTTCAGCGGTGTGTGATTTAGACTTTTAAGTTGGACCTCATTTTTTCCGAACCTCCTGATCTTTTCTAGCTCTTTCCATTCTTCTCTCTTACAGACCTTTATCTTTCAGTCTCCCAGACAGGAGAGGTAGACAAAGGTATTGCTGACTTTTAGAAAAAATGTACTTTTAACAAAAAGGGAAAGCAAAATGATGTCAAAGGCAATAAATTACGTAGGCCAGACTCAAAAATTATGTGTAAAAATACCCATACTAGTCCTTGTAGCCTACTTTTTGTGCTAGTTTCTTCTTGTAGTTCCCTCATCTTTTTATTGGCTATAGTGTATTTTACTAGCTTTCCATTGACATCATATTTTTTATTTTATTTCTCTTCCTGCATTTTAAAATTTAACTTTTCTTTATATCATTGTTTCAGAAAAAAAGGATTATGAACTTGTGTGAATATTAACAAAAACCCCTGCAAAACTAATCTGAATAAAAATTGAACACACAAATAACAAAATATGATGTGATGACATAATACAAATGACTTCGTTATTGGGAGAATTTTGTACCTGATAATCTAAAATAGGTAATATGAACTCTTTTGCTTCACCATTTAGTATTTCTAAATGAAAACAAAGAACTTTTACCTGTTTGCAAAGAGGAGTTTCAGAACAAGTTTCAGGTGAACAAAATGTTAAAAAAACCCCCAGGAAAACCAACGAACTCAAATAGTGCTATATATACAGAACAAAATTATCAGTGCAATTTGCAAAGCCGAGATAGAAATACCAAAGTTGATCTTTCAAACTGAAGTGTATCAAACATAAAATGAGAAGGGCTGTCAGCATGTACTCAGCTTCAGCTGTACATTTGCTGCCCTTGCAGTCTGAATCACTGGATTTTGCTTTAAGATACCTCGGTAACTGCAGTCATGGAACATGAATATTAACAAGGAACTGAAAAAGGAGGAGGAAAATATATGTTTGAAGTTCAGTTTATGGTCATTGTCCCCCGTCATTTGCTGTTTGAAACATTTAGTTTGGCTCCAGTTTTGGGGTCAGTCGATATTAATTGCAGTACTTCAAAATTCATTTCCACTCATTTTAATTATCTGTGTGTTTTAAATAGCTGGAATCTTAAGCAGATGAAATTTATTTCATTTATTAATAGCTTTGCTCTTTACTTTTTACATGATCTTTTTAGGGTAAAGTAATGTAATACCTTTGAGATTTAACAAATACAATTCTGTAATTGGATTTAGTAGCACTAAGTTGTAAAGTGTTAGCTAAAAGTATTTTTGGGTAGTATGAAATATTTTACCTAAATTTGAACTATGCAATAGCACATGAAGAAAATCAATCAAATGACCTTCCTCTGCCTAATATGTCAACACTTGTAACATATAATCTGTATTTCGTTGTAACAGTAGGGAGCTTGATTTCAGGTTTGGGTTTGTTTTATTTTTATTTCTGCAAGGCTACTTTTCTTTTTCTCTGTTCTGCTCACACATACTCTGTTTTTATTTTTGGGTCTGGCAATGAAAAACAAACAAACAAATAATTAATCATTCCCATCCATTACTCTCTTTGTGATTCAAGTGCTTAAAATTTCTAAGAGTATGTCTTAAGTCTTCTTATCTGTTTGGCCTCATTTTGATATACTTGCAGACTTCATTTTGTTTTTTCTCTAATTATGTTCATTTATTTAACTTCATAAGCAGGGTACATGATCATTCCTTTATATCATGTATTGCATCCTTTCATGATTTCATAACCCTGCTGCTTTGAAGTCATACTTGTTCTGGAAAGAAGCATTGGTGTGAAACAGCAGCAGCAGAGAGGTCCTAGTACCTCAGAAATACTTGGAAAAGGGAGGCTTATTTTGCAAATGGTTAGCCTTCATTATTTTGTTTTCTGGTAGGCTTTACATTTTTATACGTTTATTTTAGTGATAGCTAGCTCTGTATAAAGTTGTTTGTTATGGTGGTTTGAGTATTTTTTTTTTTCTATTTGGATATGCATATTAACTACATTTGTGATGTCCAATACTTTTTCCAAATGATCTGAATTTCTTTTTAAAGAGTAGAACAATATTTCTGGGATCACTTTCGTATAAAGTTATCAGTGGGGCATTATGAGAAAGGGTGATGATGAGAATAAGGGTAATTGATTCCTGTAGTGATAAATAATGACCTTAGTAAACTAACAGCAGCTCATAGTTCTCAGTTGATAGACTAGGACCAGTAGAATAAAAGTTCTGTTGTTAAATATGTCTATTTCAGTCTTTCAAATAGTATTATTGTTTTGCATATGTGGCATTGCTCTTTCACTCTAAAAGTATATGAACATGTTTACAAGCATTTTCTATGGTAACTGAACCTAAAATTTTGATATACAGTGTTTCAACATTAAAGTACAAGCTTCAGTGACAGATGAAATTCAGAATACAAAGCAGGTGTGGCAAAAATGTGATGTACTGGCTTATTGTAATACCAGCTGTATGCAATTTGTACTGTATTTCTGAAATGTCATTAACATGTCTTAAGTTTCATTTTCACTTAAGTCGTTTGCTGGCTGTGACAATTGATCATTCACTGCATGTTCAAAGCTTGCTATGTGTTTTGTTTTGTTTTGTTTTTTCAAGTGAAGCAGTTTTTTCTTTGCACCTCACCAACTTACCTGCTGAATTATTTGGTAAAAAAGACAGTTGAAACTTGTCCAGTTCAATGTTACAGGGATGGCTCTTTTAATCAGGTACCTCTATAAAACTCCTTAAAAGGACACTGAGCTGGAAGTACTTCTTCTAGCATCTTTGTGTTTATAGATACAGTTCACTTTCTGTAAAAGAAATGATAAATAAATGGAAGGACTGCATACTGGTTCACTGTTTGACATGCTAAAAAGGAATGCTAAGACATTCGGGTGTAATAGCATTTGAAATAACGTATTAGTTATCCAGTTTGGGAGTTGAAGTACTTTTCAGTCATTTTATCCATTAGACATTTTTTACGAACTGTTTGCTCTGTCTTAGAAATATTGTATAACTGTACTGTGCTTGATAGAGTTGACATTAATTGTGATAAATAGCGTTCTGCTATGCATATTATATATACATTGAATTACAAACCCACTTAATATAGAGAATTACAGGAGAAAAGAATGTAACAGTTTGAAAATCTCTGCTCCAGCATGTGATAGTGAAAAACAGTCTCGCTGCCAAAAAAAAGAGGTAATCTGAAATTCATAGTACTTTTGTCAAGGGTCTTTGCTGATCCTGGTCCAGAAGGCTCCTCCTGAAATGTGACTCTTGGAAGTCGTGACTGTATAGGAGGGTGGAAGGGCAATGCTCATGTCAGTTGTGGTATTTTAAATAATTCTCAATTATGTCTCCATTGTATCCTATGCCTTTGGGGCGGGAGGCAGGGACTGTAAATCTGTGTAAAGAGGATAGCTGCAGGTAGGTAAAAATAATGAATTATTATTAAAATCAGTTATACTAAAACTTTTATTTGCCCATTAAGACTAAGTAGTTTCCATTAAATTAGAGTGAGGAATCTCCATCCTAGTCACCTAGAAGACATCTCTCTTTTGAATTGCCAGCCATGCCTGTTTGTGTGGACCATGTCCATCACTTAAGATATTTTTCTGGTTTACCATTGTTTCAGTTACAAATTGTATAATTCATTGCTTTTGTTAGTGCTTTATTAGTATTTTCATCTTTTCTATGGAAAACAGTTTACATTGCCCCGCTTCTGGTTTTGCTTAAAGATTTTTTTTCCAATTACTGAATATAGAATTTAAAGGATAGAACCAAATAAAAAGGAAATGCATTTATTGTTTTACCTGATAAAATTTCACTGGTAGTTACTTCTTCATTGCAAATTATTATTTCCAGTTTCTCAAATATAAAAGGACAGTGTTGAGCAGCTTCGTATCTTCTGCACTTTTTTTTTAATAAATAACAAATTACAGTGTCTAATACAGTTCCTTTAAGATACTGCAGATTCAGGGATGCAGATTTTGGGTACTTGCATTTCTTAATACTACTGGTGTTAGTTCTAGGTTTTCCCCTTCATGAAGGTATTGCAATTGAAACAGCTTCTGAAGTAAATGACCTAATAGACTTGGTGATGTTAAGGGAAACCAAGGAAGAAGAGGCTTTGAAAATACTTTTTGCACCTTTTTATTTTTACTGAGTCTGTATGTCTGAGAACCAGTTATTTGGATTATGTCAGGGCCAAAGTGAGGGCAAATCATTTGGTTGCATTGGAGATTTGAGATTTCCTGTGCTTTATCCTTTACCCCGACACGCCTTTCCCAACTTTGGCATGTCTCATAGATGAGTGTTTGGCAGAGGGGATGTTATAACAGACAACTTAGGGCTTTCTGGTCTCTGTTCCTGGTATTGGGAATCCTCCTGTGACTAAAATACAGGGATTTATGATGCTTTAGCGTTTCCACATGATATAAAAGGGTTAGTTCAAAATCTGAAAATTTAATCGGTTTCATTTTGACTGTGGGTTATGTTTTTGAAGGGAGAAGGAGAACAGTAGGTAGGATTTTGTGTGGAAATCTTATGTTAATTTGGCATTACTTTTGTTTGTTATAAGAGAGTAGTAAAAGGGAGAAAATTTTTTTTTGGGACAGCCTTCAAAAATTGGAGTTGTTATCTGGGAAATGTATGGTGTGTCTGCCTCCTTTTGTGCAGGAGTGCAGGTGTACTCCTCAGTAGTTACACCCTGTAACTGCAGTGAATTTCAGGGAAGATCAAGAATCTGAAAAGGTTGTACTTTGAGCAGTAGTTACCTACCAACACTGTTTAATAATCAAATATGACACAAACTTTTCCAGAAGTTTTTTGTGTTTTGTTTTGCTGTGTTTCTTGCTCCGAATTATGTTATCTGCAAATGCACTGGTTTCTTCAGTCTTTGACACTCTTGTAAAGACAGACCTTCCATTTCTACAGGTTTAGTCTTGTTTAACCAGTTCTTAGCATGTTGCTTTGTTTCTTGTGGATTGCTCCTTTTTACTGGGCCTGCAAGATGCCACATTGTAAAACTGTAGTAGTTCTGAAAATCACTTTCTGGTTTGTATTTTTAATCCTACTTTTAAAACATCAAACTAAAAAGTTACTTTTTTACATATTCACAGAATTGCGAATATAATGTCTTTTTTTGCAATTAAGAGCTCTATTTTTAAAATCTTCCAGGCTTCTTTTTTTCCAACAAGAACAAAAATTATTTTTACACTTTCGTGGCAAGCCTGAACTAAAACCACACAGCTAATTCTGAACACACATAGAGAATCTGAACTTTTAGGAGGAACATTTCCATACTTAAAATGAACAGTGTCTTTTTCTACACAGCGTTAAAAATACAGTAACAACTTAATACTGTTAATAGACCTTAAAATAATAAGATTTTGAAGAGTTGTTCTTCAGAAGCAATAGGGAAAGGTCATGTTCTTCATGTCTTCAGAGCTCTGAGCTGTAAATCACCTTTGTTATTGGCAGTTATTTTATCTAAAAGGCAAAACTGAATGGAAGTAATAAATGAACTTACATCTGTATTGTAAAACTTGCATATTGATACAGAAAGACTCTGTCTTTAAGTGAAGAGAGACTGCGTACAGTAAAGGACTTTAATACAAAATAGGTACTTCGGTGCTTAATTTGGCGTAACCAGGTGGTTATGTAATGTTCCAGTGTGCCCAGGGGCTGCAGATATGTTAGCATATAATTAGAACTGTGGCACAACAGCTTTCTCCAGTTGGTCTATAGAAATGATCTCTCTCTGCATGCTCTTTATCACCCACAAATGCAAGGTGTTTATCCTTTTCATCTTGGGGTAAGCCACCTTGAAATCCTTTATATATATATGTGTATATATATATATATATATATATTCATTTAGATAAGTAATATGGTTCAACTGACATTCAGTAGCTTGTTACTTTGAGGTTACAGGTTCAGAATATGTAACCTCAATGTTAGTCAACTGTGAACCATGTGAACTTTTAGAGTAAGTACAAAACAAATCAGCACCTTGAACTTCAAATACCTCAAGACTGTTCTAGAACCTACACATTACCATGCTTGGATAAGCCTCCTATTCCTCCCTGCATACTTTTCCATCAAGTTGACATTACATGTTTTACCATATAAAAAGGAATGTGTGAACTGTTTTCTCTTTCTGGTTTAATATTTCCAAATAACCCATTTCATTCCAAACACAATTACCATCTGGTCTTTCTAATTGTGTAACCATGGAAATACTTGAAAAGTTAGTTGTCTGTGTATATTGCTAGTGAATCTTCATGTGACCAACTTTGCCTGACTTGCATTTTTCCTCACTTTATACACAGGCTGGTTTAGCAGGAGCTCCAGCCCGGGCTGTTTCAGCTGTAAAGAATATGAATCTGCCAGAGATCCCAAGAAATATTAATATTGGTGACATCAGTATAAAAGTGCCAAACCTGCCCTCTTTTAAATAACATGGCCACTCCAGGTAAAACCAAGGAAGAAATGTAATAGAGATTTACCGCATAATTGTTTACTAAATAAATGACATGTCTAACTTTTACTATTTGGATAAAACTCAAGGTACTGTATAGACATAATTCAAAAAATCAGTGTGTGGAGTTGAATGTTGCTTTTGTCTTGTTTGTGAAATTAAAGGAAATGGGTAGTTCCAGTGTGACTTTTAAATTACATTCCTATGCCCTTGTAAGGCATATCACTGTGTCCCGGCTGCTGCAGTATTTTGGGAAAGTATTTAAGATGTTATTTACTTTGTATAACCTATAATGCTGAGTTTTTTGTATAGTCAATAAGGTCTATAATTAGTGCATACCTTAACTGCGTTTGTCATGATAATTTAAGACTTAAGTGCAAATGTTGCATGAAAACAGTAAACTCTTGTTTTGTTTAAATAAAATCATAACAAACTGGACTTCTAAATACCCGTTTGTCTGAAATCTACTCTTTGTAATAAATCATGCTATTTTCTATTCATGAAGCCAATTGACTATATATAAATACTGTTGTAGCAAGCACTAATGTTGTAGTTTAATCTCTGAAGGAATTACACTGGGGTGTTGTTGAACATATTGGCTCTTTACATTTCTCACAAAAGCTGTTCATTATTATTCTGAAAGAAAAACTGCCTTTACTGAAGTTCCAATGCCTTCTGTTTACATGTAGATGTTGAGAAGATACTTGCACAATCTGATAGACTTTCCCTGATGGTCTGACTTTGTTTTGTGAAAAATGGTCTCTGCAGTTGCTGTGTTCTGAGAAGTACAAAATGGGCTGAGGAGATTGGGCAGCTCAGAACTGTAAATGTGAGTGTATCAAGAAATATGATAAAGGCACTCTGGAAAGATAAATGAGGATACTTTAATAGGGCCTCTGTGCCTGGTGACAGTTGTGATTCTCTGCTTCGAGAATTAGATTCATGAATATTGTTAAGACCTCAGAAAATCTATCACCTCTGTGTAAGTTGCTCAGCTCTTAAACTCTTCTGTGATTTAAAAAAAAATAAAAGGGGATAGTGATTGTTTTTTATAATCATGCTTTTAAGCTCTGTGTGATGTACAAGTCTGTTTAAATGAATAATAAAAATATCATTGGGATATTTAAAAATTCCCGTGAAGTTGTCTTCTCCAAAAAAGTGTGCAGTGAATACTCTATGAAAATACAATAATAGTGTATCAAGGACAACACATTTCACTAGTCTGAGAGGTGCTGTGTTACTTCAGAAATTTGGATTTGATGTAAACCAAGCATTCTTTTCCTTTGAGTTGAACGTTAAGACATACCCCATAGCATAAACTTGGAATCACATCACATTCTGTGTTTGATCTATAGTAACTATTGTTGATCCCTTTTGAGAGCATTTGACAGAAACAAAGAGGAATTACTTTTGAAGTAGAAAATCTGATACAGTTAAAGGAATTTTATTGTATTTCTTGGGGAGGGAAAGAAACTTCATGTATATTGTTCATATTATATTTAATAAGCATCAAGTGACACTATTTTATAAATGCTTTTGAAAACAGAATTGCCCTCTCCATAGTTCTTGAAAAGAATATTTATTCTTCTAAATTCACTTTCTTGGTTTGAGGGCTCAGGAAATTTCAAGTGGAGTTTAAGCAGAAAACTGCCACTTTCTCATTTCCACTGAAGAAACTGAGGGAATGAAACATGCAGCTTTTTTCTTCCCTATGAAGTACAGTGTTCTTTAGTATTCCCAAGTTAGACAGCTTAGCTAGTACAAATCTAGAATTGTTATAATTTCACCTGTTTTTGCCAACTTTTGTTTTTCTGCTTAATGCATAGACCATGACATTCCAAATAAAGAACTTGAAAACTTTCTGCAGTGTTCCCCCTGTGAGGATTTAGTTAGTGCTACTGCCGAAGGATAAATAGGAAATTTTGAGGCATTTGGTACTCTGACCTACATAGAGTTTTTCTGGCTGTTTGTGAAAGGAGCTCACAATTTAAGAAATTCTCCCAAGTCCTCAATTTTTTTGTCTCACTGGTTCATTTTCAGATTTGTAAGCTTATACAGTAAAAACATTTTTTCATTCCTCACAGATATTTTCTGGGTTTATTTGCATCAAACATTTTTCCAAATCCTTAGCAAAAACATGTCTGAAATGAATCTCGATATGAAGCATATTTCAGATTAATTTCTCACCTCTTATCTGTTAATAGCCAAGCTTTCATTCATTTTAGTGAACTAGGTCTAGCTCTTAACAATTACACTTTTTTTTTTTTTTTCTTAAAGCTTTGGGTTGTGTTTTTTTTAGCTTTGTGTTTTGCATTGCTGTTGTTTATACTATCTTTCCCCTACCTGACAATGTGGCTTCTGCCAGAAAGGATTCTTCTCTGGACAGCTCTTCCACTGCACTAGACTTTTCAAGAAGCTTCTCTGTTTCTGACTGGCCAGCAAATACTGAATATAAGGCTGTGACTAACAACTGGAGCTTCCTTACTCAGAAAATCTTTGTATGTGAAGAAATTCTTTATCAGATTTTCACAGTAAAATTGCACTCCTTTCAAAGAGAAATTATCTCTCGCATACAGTAGAGATACTGTACAGAAAGCCAGAATGGTAGTATTTTTTTTCTTGAATAAAAACAGATGGTATGGCAATGTGGGCTTCCTCAAGGTAGCTGAACCTGTCTGTTTGCCACCCCTTTACCAGAGGAGTGTCTCTAGCTTGCCAAGGGAGATGTTATCCATGTCATTTGACACTGACAGGCCTTAAACTAAAACCAGTCAGAGGAGATGGGATACTTGATCAATAGAAATGGTGGAAATGATGTTGTTACTCTTGGCCTTCTAGGGGCTGCCTTGTGTTGCAGGTATTCAGAGGTTTTCCACGATGCTGGTCTGCTTGTATTCATTACCTTCATGAGAATGATGTCCCTTTTGAATTCTTTCTCCTATTTCACCGGTCTCCTCTTAACTACTGCTTAGGATTTAAAATGAAAATAAACTGTGGGCTGTAAATGATTAAGCTCTTGATTATAAATTTAAATGTTTTTAATGCTTTGTAACTGCAGGAAAAAAAACCAAACCTTCATATATATGTCTATCTGTGTGTGTGTATATATGTGTAAAAACCACATCAGTCTTTTGCACTAGCTGTTGTTAAAAAGGAGGAGGGATCATCCAGAGTCATCCTTTAGCTGCAGAAGCCAGGCAACTAATTTGCAATACGCCAGCTCTATAGGATCTGCCTTTTAAGTGACATTCATCAGGGTGACAGCATGTGTAAATGAATCACTGAAAGCCATTTTTCCTAACTCTGGGCATTTCTTAGAACTGCAAATGAAATTTTATTAAACAGTAGCTGAGACTATTTGGTACTTATGCATCTGAGACACCACCTCATGTTGTTTTCCCACATTAGGTTTTCTTTCCTATTCAGTTCAGTTCCTCTGCTAGTGAAATTCTCTGAGGAGAAACCTTTTCATGTGATCAAAGCAATTTAACTGTAGTATTATTTGTACTACTTTTGATAGTCCTTGATAAATCATGCAAAGAAATCATTTTAAGGAGACTGCGTAACATTAATAATACAAATTAGTGATTAAGGCTTCAGGATGTCTTAACTAATCTATTTTTCCTGCATTTCCCCACACCACCTGTTTTTCTATTGTCAGTAAGTGGCTGTTATCAAGGTTGTTACATGTCCCAATCCCAAATTCCACCAGATAAGAATTTTCCACATTTGTTTATATTCTGGGGATGCAGGGTAAAGTGCCCTCACAGAGGAAGCTTGAGGCTTGGGTGTAGTGGCTGTTCAGATTGCTGTCTCCAAACTGTGACTGTCTCATTAAGAATGATGCCTTTCAAATTCAGAGATATTTACTGTGAAACTTAGTAATGGGGAGAAGATTAAGTCTGACAGCTTGTGAGAGCAACTGCTAGTTCTGGCAAGTAATTACTTTGTCTTTGAGGAGAAATATTCTTTTCTGGGATACAGGCTCCCTCTCAAGTGTTGGGACGAAAGCTCTTAGAAGTGTTTTCCATTCAGAAGCCAAAGACTTTCTCTGAAGGCCCATGTGGAGCAGACGAATTATTTTCTTCCTTCTTGCAGGGTGGATTCTTCCAAAAGAAAAGGAGAAAGGGGAGAAAGGATTAAAGTTCCACAAAGTGAATGGGCATTCCCAGCTGCCTCCATAGACTTGAAACAGAGCAGCTACTTTTCACACTGGGGCAGGGGCAATGAGTAGTGCTGAAAAAAAAATCTTGACTCTTTCTCACTAAAAGAGAAGTATCTCATATTAGAATAAGCTGAGAGTGCTATCTGCAGTATTGCCCAGAGAAGCTGTGGCTGCCCCCTCCCTGGCAGTGTTCAAGGCCAGGCTGGATGGGGGTTTGAGCAACGGGGTCTAGTGGAAGGTGTACCTGCCCATGGCAGCGGGGTTGGAACTAGATGGTCTTTGAGGTCACTTCCAACCCAAACCAGTCTGTGATTGACAGCACAGACTACAGGAACTGTGTCAACGAACTCTCCTCCCTGAATAGTGAAGCACTGTTTTGAATATATTTGGGGAGGAGGGAGTATTTCACAAGTGTATGCAAAATTCTTCCTCTTGAACGGATGCCACTGCTGCTTTGATTTATTCTGCTTGACAGGAATGGATGGAGGGACGTGTCACCTGTTGCAAGGGAGAAACAGGTTCAAGCCAGAAACTGAAATTGGCACTGCCTTCCTGAGACCTTTTCCTTCTAGTAGCATGTTCCAATAAATGCTAAAATTAGTTTTGCTTAGGCCTGTGCTGACAACAGAATGGGAACTTGCTGATGTTCTAAGGATTACCTCCTAAAGCTCCTTCATACTGAATTATAATATATGCAGGGCATAAAATACTGAAGGAAATGGAAATTAGAATGTCACAAATCAAATCATTGTCTGTTTTTAACTTAAAGAAAAACAGAGCCTAAGTCTTGCGCAAAATATACTTCTCAACTTCTGCACAGAGTATTCAGCGTTTTATTAGGAGCAAGGAACACAGCTAAGTACTGCCAAAAGTGACTAAAGGTGAACAGTTAATTTGAAAAAAAAAATAAATCTTGTTATTTACTTCTATGATTATCATAACAAATTGTAAATCTCTCTTCATTTAAGGACATGATGTGCCCTGCAGTTTTTCGTGTTCGATGTTTACCCCAAAATGCTCGGTGAGCTCAGGTAATGTTATTACCTCCATTCCATGGATGGAAACGCAAAGGTAGTCACAGTGCAATGTCAGTTTAGCAGCCAGATTTCTTGTCTGCAGAAGTTTTGGCCTTGTGGTGCATTAGGAGTTCTGTTACAGTGTGGTCTGACTGGGGAGGAATCAGAGGTTGAGACATCCCCTCTTTGTGCAGACGGAGTATGCCTGTGGCTGGAGTGCGAGAGGCATTTCAGTTGATCCATTATCCATCATGAGGCAGAGCGACAGGCACGCTTGTGCCATATGCCACTGCTTTCCTGCCC